TTTGTCTACATTCTATAACTTAGTTTTTATACCCAACCGCTTCCAACAAACCAAAATACTAGGCCAGAAGCACAACCGCCCCCTCGTACGGTCCAAACTCGACCTTGCCCCCACGGAAATCTTCCGCCGTCTTGCCGCCGTTGGAAACAAGCACCTCCTTGACGCTCTCCGCCTTCAGTCCCTCCCAGCTTACCGTCCCGCTCGAAAAGTTACACGCCACGACCGCCACGGCGCCGTCCTCGGCCCGCCGCGCGTACGCCACGATCTTCTCGTTCTTCTCGTCCACGAGGGCGAAGTCGCCGTAGACAAAGATGTCGAGGTACCGCTTGCGCGTCGCGAGGACCGTCTTCCAGAAGCTGAAGACGGAGGCCGGGTCCGAGACCTGCGCGGCGACGTTGATCTCCGTGTGGTTCGGGTGCACCGTCATCCACGGGGTTGCCTGGGGTGTCGTGAAGCCTGCGTTGGGGGCGGCGGTCCACTGCATTGGTGTGCGGGCGTTGTCGCGGGATTTCTTCTGGTATTGGGATTTGAGGAATCTGAGGTATTCATTGTCTTTGGAGTCCTTGTGCAAGCTGGTTACGGGGGAGATTGTCAGCATTGCATCATTCTTTGCGCAGCCTAAAGTTTATGACCGTGTACTCACTTCCAGTGGTTCAGACAGTCAATGTCCTTGTACTCCTCCATCGGCCACTCCTTGGGCACGTTGACCATGCCAATCTCCTGGCCCTGGTAAACAAAGGGCGTACCGGCCTGGAGGGCCTGGAACATGGCGACGGCTTTTGCGCTGTCGACGCGGTGCTGCGGCGCGTCGTTTGCGAAGCGGCTGACGGAGCGCGGCTGGTCGTGGTTCTCGAGGTACAGCGCGTTCCAGCCGTCGTGGTCGTACATGAAGCGCTGCCACTTGTTGGCGATGCCCTTGAGCTCCGCGAGGTCCCATTCTTTGGCGGAGAATTTGCCGTGGGGGCCGATGTCGATGTCGACGCTGGAAGGGGGGAGGAGATGCTTGTTAGTTGTCCTGCCGATAGTGGATGGGCAAAATAGGGGTAAAAGGCGGGTCGGATACTCACAATTCGAAATGGAAAATCATGCTCAGCTCCCCGCGATCGCCGTTCACGCTCTTGATCACCTCGTTCAGGTCCCTCACGCAGGGCATCTCCCCGACGCTGAAGGCGTCGTACTCGTGCAGGATGGCGCCCAGCTCCTTGAGGTACTCGTGCAGCCTGGGCCCGGCCGAGTAGAGCTCGGAACCGGGCAGGACCTCTTGCTTGGAGTCGGGGAAGTCCTGGGGCTTGCTGACGAAGTTGATGACGTCGAGGCGGAAGCCGTCGGCGCCCTTGTCGAGCCAGAAGCGCATGATGTCGTGGACGGCGGCGCGGACTTTGGGGTTCTCCCAGTTGAGGTCGGGTTGTTGGCGGGCGAAGAGGCGGAGGTAGTATTCGTCTGTTGCTTCGTCGTATTCCCACGCGCTGCCTGTGTGTAGACGTCCGATGTTAGTTGAAATTTCCCGTCATCTTCGAGCAGGCGGGTTCAACAAGCTTTCCAGAGCCTCGAGGAAGTGTGGGATGGCCTGAGAGAACTAACCCTGGAAATGGGAGGCCCAGTTGTTGGGAGGCTGGCGGTTGCCCTGGGCGTCGTACTTTGGCTTGCGCCAGATGTACCAGTCGCGGTAGGGGCTGTCCTTTGAGCTGCGCGACTGCTTGAACCACTCGTGCTGGTCGCTGGTGTGGTTGACGACGAGGTCGAGGACGAGCTTCATGCCGCGCTCGTGGAGCTTGTCCTTGAGGGTGTCGACGTCGGCGACGGTGCCGTAGGGCTCGTGGATCTTTTTGTAGTTGCTAATGTCGTAGCCCTGGTGCACGTTTTGTTGGTCAGTTCATCCGTCCGAGTTTATGGAAATGTCTTTTTCAAGAGTACGGCCTGCCAGAAACTCACCATGTCGATCTGGGGACTCTCAAAGATGGGGCACAACCACACGATGTCGACGCCGAGGGACTTGAAGTGGTCGACGCGGTCGATGATGCCCTTGAGGTCGCCCACGCCCGAGCCGGTCGAGTCCTGGAACGAGGCCGGGTAGACTTGGTATACGGAGCTCTCCTTCCACCACTTGCGAAGCTGTCTCTTGGGGGGACGCCCGCCCGCGCTCTCCGCGACGACATAGCGTGCCATTGTGGGCGGAAACTTGTGTGTGTTGTAGGTTTTACGGTGAGAAGTAGTGTGGAATTGTTGGATAATTCGAAGCTTTCGAGAGTAGAAAGCTGTGATGCCGGTTCGGGGTCGTTTGCGTAGCTGTTTTGGAATACACGCAATGCGGCAACGGACTTTGAGAAACGGACAGCGTCTGGTAATATAAAAACAAAGAGGTCTACGTCTTATACAATTTGAAAGAGCTGCAAAGACAAGAGCGAGCAGAGACTCCTTTAAGAGATTCAAAGTTCAGGCTCTCCGGTAAGAGGGCGGGGGGTTGGTTAGCGGTTTGGTAATAGGAGCTTGGTCCGTTGGCGGGGGAGGAGGGGCTTTGCAAAGAGTTTCTGCGAGTAAAGACTGGTCGTGGTGACCAATTGGAAGAATTTGGAGATGGGAAAGCGTTGGCTTGGACGAAGCTGAGTAAGGCGGACAAGCCAGTGTTCAGCCAGACACGAGACACAAAAAGACGGCGCGTGGGCTGGTTGTACTTGGTAAGGTAGTAGGGAAGAGATGATCGGCGGGTTGTTGCAGCCAACTTTCAGGTACTTGGGATCCCTTTTGCGTGGGGAATGGGTTGATAATTACCGACCCGACACTTGGGGACCACGGGAGAATTCGAGCGAGAAAAGCGAGCGAGAAAGGGACGAATGACGAGAGGGAATGGGCTTTCTGGAGACTCTCTCTCTCTCACCCCCCCCGTCGGGTCTTCCCCGAATCGGAGGTTGAATGCAGCTGCCCCTCCATCGAACCCGTCTCCGTCATGCGGGGTAACTTTCTGGCTGCCCCAAGGGCTGGGCTACATGCTCTGCACAGTAAAGTTGCGGAGGTTCCGCCCGGTTTGCAGGTACCTCGACTTATACTTGTATACGGGTGAGACGTATGTACATGTTTGAGCATAAAGGTACCTATTGAGCAGACGTTCCCTTACGTAACTACCTTACCTATTCAAGAAACAAGAAAACATGTAAGAGTATGATGATCTCTCAAGCAGGTACAGCCGCAGACGCGCGGGAGATGTTCAGGAAGCAGTTTGCATTAATGCCGTTACGTTGTGTCGTGTTGCAGGTTGAGAAGATCAACCCTCCCATTGTGTAACTGCGCCTGCGTTGAAAGCAAAGAGGTGTGGTGTGGTAGTGCTGGGTTCCTCCCAAGTGGATGGATGTGTGCGTGTTACCCAGTGCCCCGCCGGCGGTGCTGGCCCACCGTCCACACGAGCAGCCCCCGACCCCGTCCCCGAGATTTTTGCCGGGTCCACCGATTCTACAGGGGTTCATTCGGGACCCGGAGCCTTAGGATCTAAGAGGGAATAGGCCGGACTTGCGGATGCTTCACAAAGACCAGCAACTTGTAGTTCACGGAGAGCACGCCGATAATATGTAGAATGATGCAGAGTGCTCTATATCATTGTTCATGCATTTTCTCTCTTGTAAGTGGCATGAAATGGCAACACTGACGGCTCATAAACACCATATCCAGTACTTCGAAATACGTCAAATGGTGGTCAGATGGCTTTGTCGTATCGGAATATTCTTGTGACAAAGTGAGTATTAGCTGGACCAATTTGATAGTAGTAGGTAGACTCTTGTAAATCTTCGACGTTCATCTATGAATATCCCAATCTGCCAAAAGCCAGTATATCAACGAGAGCTCGGCACCATCGGCGGTCACGGCAAGCACAAGCCTCTTGCCATTTCGACAAAGCTCTTCTCCAACTCTCAGCGGGATCACGTATTATTACACACCCCCGGCCCCGTCTTCCAGGGTCCGGAATTCTCATCGAGGCGGAGGTTACTCCCGGAGCCGGGCTGGGATTCCGCACCGGTGGCGTGAATGAAACGGGGAACGTTGGTAGGAAAGCTTCCCTCGATGCTGAGGACGATAGACCGTAGCGTAGAATGATGGCAAGCTACCTGCACGAGAGCCTAGCACTACCTGCCTGGTTCACATGACGGTAATGAAACTGCTAGTTTATAGAAGTTCGGGTTTTGAACTGCTAGTAAGAACAAAGCGGTGAAACTGGGCTGGCCTGCCAGACTGCCACAACCGCCTTCAACTTCTCTAGCGATGTTGATGGTGGTACAACATGCTCTACTCAGCAGTCATTCAAGCGGACATCTCAATGGTCACCGCGGTGCAGCCTCCACGTCAGACACCTCAGAGACCAAAAGAGAAGCGCCATAAGTCGAAACAGCCATCGAGTCCCCCCCAAGCGTGTCTAGTACATATCTACCGGTCCGGCTTTCGACCGCGAGAAGTACGGAAAGCCGGCCTACCTGAGTGCCTAGATAACTCCCCTCTGGTGGTTGGCCCTGCCGCGACCCGTTTATATGTATGTACCTACTTACTTATAGGATATGCATGATGGTAATCCTTCGGGGACCAACATGCGGTTTGGTCCTTTACCCAGCTGCAGCCAGCCGCACCGCGCCGCTGCGAGGTGGACCATTGGTCAATGCCAGTCGGATTCCCACTACTTTAGCTGCTAGCATGACGTGGGTGGGGTGGTTATGGAGGGGTAAAAAAAGGAAACATCACTTTCCGATAATATCTCCGCAGAGAGGGAGGAGGGGTGCGGGGCAAGCTCGTTTGGAGCTTTCCCATGTTGCGCGAGAGCGAAGACGGAGGGGTGAAATCATTAGCAGGCAGTGTGAAGCGCAGAAAAAAAAAAGTAGACGAGAGTGAATGTAAACATACCATCTTACATCCTTTTTTCGCATACTTGCCACTTCCCTACGCTTCGAGAGACGACGTCCGACGCCGAGATACCTAGATTACCCCTAATCACCAACCTGACAGACCGAGTAGAACAAGACACAATGGCGTGGGAAGAGCCTAGAAAGACGGGCATGCAGTACCGCCGCCTGGGTAACTCGGGACTTCACGTCTCGGTGCTGGGTTTGGGCGGTTGGTTGACGCACGTTTCTCCTACCTATTTCCCCACACGAAATTGCAAAGTGCTCTGTAGGACCATCGTGCTGACTTTGGTGAATACAACAGGTTCGGCGGCCACGTTGAGAATGGTATGTACGGGACGGGGACTCGAGCGAATCTTCTGCGAGACTCGTGTGTTTTGGCAGCGTCACTGACGGTTACGACGCGCTGCAGAACAGACGTTTGCGTGTATGAAGCAGGCTTACGACCTTGGCGTCAACTTTTTCGATACAGCTGAGAGGTGAGTCTCCCCAGAACCTCTCCCGTGCGATACCACGCGGTTGCGGCCGAGTGAAGCGAAGATGAAGTAGCTAATCACAAGCCGCTCCATACAGCTATGCGGGCGGAAACTCGGAGATCATCATGGGCCAGGCCATCAAGAAGTTCAACTGGAACCGTAACGACATTGTCGTCACAACAAAGGTGAGTCTTGCACCACGGAACTCCGCAGGAGCAACGACAGCGCGCAGTCGAACCGCAAGTTGTTCTGACCTGTCGCGCGCACGTACAGCTCAACTGGGGCGGCGCCAACGGCCAAGTCCTCGTCAACAACCACGGCCTCTCGCGCAAGCACATCATCGAAGGCCTCCGCGCCTCCCTCAAGCGCCTCGACCTCGAGTACGTCGACATCGTCTACGCCCACCGACCGGACCGCCTGACGCCCATGGAGGAGACGGTCCGCGCCTTCAACCACGTCATCGACAAGGGCTACGCCATGTACTGGGGCACGTCGGAGTGGAGCGCCGACGAGATCGCCGAGGCCTGCGGCGTCGCGAAGGACCTCAGGATGATCGCGCCCGTCGTCGAGCAGCCGCAGTACAACATCCTCGAGCGCCGCAAGGTCGAGTACGAGTTCCAGCGGCTGTACCAGCGCTTCGGCCTCGGCCTGACCGTCTTCAGCCCCATCAAGATGGGCCTGCTGAGCGGCAAGTACAACGACGACCCGGACGCACCGCCGGCCGGGAGCCGGTTTGCGGAGGGCAAGGGGGATAAGTTTGTCAACTGGGCCAACAAGGAGTGGTACGGTAACGACGAGTGGAAGGCACTGATTCAGAACGTCGTAAAGCTCAAGGTGAGTTTCCTATTGTTGTTGCCGTTGTTTGGTACTCTCCCCGCGTGTCCGCCGCTGGCGCCGCCGGCGACACTCGCGACTCGGGACGAAAGAGATCATGATGGCTGACCGGGACATGTGCGTGTGTGTGTGATTAGGGTATTGCGGAGAAGCTCGGTGCAACGCAGTCACAGCTGGCCCTGGCGTGGTGCCTCAAGAACCCCAACGTTACCTCTGTGATCACCGGAGCCTCACGGCCGGAGCAAATCGTGGAGAATGTGGGCGCATTGAAGGTTCTGGAGAAGCTGACGCCCGAGATCATGGCCGAGGTCGATGCCATTGTGGGAGAGGTTAAGTTGGACCCGGCAAGACAAGATTAGAGAATGGCGTGTTTTTTTCTGGAAAATTTGTGTTTCTGTTACGTCCTGTTGGGTGGCGTGGATTTTGATTACTGGGCATAACCATATCTGGGAAAAAGAACGAGAGGTCCGGTACAACAAAAAAGAACAAACACCATCTTGTTACCAGCTCGACCCATGCGCGGCCGCGTCCAGGCCCCATGTGATGGAGCGTTGGCCTCGCTCTTTTGCTCGGTCGAGGCCGTTTCACGGGACCCTCGTGATAACCACTTGTTCAGAGGAACTACCTTCTAGAAGCTGTGGACAATGCTCTCGAGTCAATTAAGATGTGGCGAGTTGGCCTGATGCGGCCAAACAAACATGCCGCCTCCGCTTCAGTTTGCGAGCCTGTGCTCCAGAGTGGTGGTTGCCAAACGATGGGATGGGATGACCGGAAAGCTGCTCCGAAGGCAACATTGTCCAGACGGGAATGAGAGATACTTCAGAAACAAAGGACAGTTGCGACCCTTGAGCCGGTGTCTTGACTCGGGGGACCACAGAGATCTTCAGGGACCATGGAGGGTGTAACAATGCATCCTCTGGCCGGTGCTTCGACTTGTCGATGAAACTTCGTATGGCGTGTTGGGAACAGTAGCTCGTAGGATTAGACTAGCCGACCAGGCTTGCAAGCATGTTATGCCAACTGATGAGTTCAGATCTAGACCCAAGAAGGTTGTCGATCTTCCTGTCGTTGTTGCGGCTCGCGAATCGTCCAACAGGGAGGGTGGGCCTTGGGGTATAATGTATTCTGGGGACGGATAGGCAAAACCTACGAAAGCCACATCGGCCTTTTTTGCCATTCGCAACGAGTTGCTCCTGGAACTGTAGACTCTTTGACTATAGAGCAACTTGACGTGCCTTGATCAACAGCTCAGCTGTACATGTCGGGTAGAGGTCGACCGGTGTAAAGTAATCGCTTGATTATCATAGTCGTATCGTGGCAGGCAACTCATATAATCACGGTGATGCCTCCAACGTACCCAGTGATGATGGTCTTGATGTCGACGTTGATAATGTTGTTTCATTATGGTTGTTTGCTTCGCATATCTCGCATGATCCAGACAGCTAGAATCATGAGATCGGGGCGGCTTTGATGGCGGCGAACCCGAGAGTATCGATCCGTGTCAGAGGTGTACCTACTGAGGACAAGAATGAGGTTGCAGACGCGGCCTCTCCCTCTAGGTACGGGCTGTTTTTGGTGTGTATGGTAACACAGGAACGGTAAGACGTGCATGGATGACCAGGCAAGGGAGAGGCGAAGTGGTCCTGAGAGGCCCGAAAGCAACGAAACAAGGGCCCTCCAGAGGGCGCATTGATCGCCGTCTGGCGACAGTCCTTCTTGTTCATAGGCAAGACATGTGGCGTCGGAGAGTGGGAAGCTGGAGTTTCGTTGTAGAACTGGTTGAAATGGACCGTCTTTGGCAACAGGCGACAAGGTAAGAGGTGAGTAGCAAAAGCGATGAATTTTGCTTTGGGTAGGGTGACTGAGAAGTCATGGTTTGAGATAGCTGTAGCCACAGCTTGATGCAGAGATCGAACTGCCAAATAAGATGTCAGTATCAGGCCATATTGACGCTTGGAGGTGGTGATGGGAGAATAGAGTTTGGGCCTTGCACGCCTGGATGGTTAGTGTCGTGAACGACGGTTGGGAGCCACTGGGAAGTATAGCCTTGGTAGATGAGCAGAGTTGCTGCGTAGAATAAGTAGAGTGGTAGAAGACATGTGGCTAAGCAGGGAGGTTGCTCGCTCGATATCATGTCTAAGGTTACTTGCTTGGACGGGGAGGCAGGGTCAGGCAGCTGAGAGGGGGCAGATGAGGAGGCAATGGAAGAGAGCGAAGAAGGAGAACCCTAGAGCACCAGGGGACGTGGGACACTCGTGCGGCGGCGTTGAAGGCCGTGGAGGCGTACGCAGTAGGAGGGATACAGGATGAGACGAGCGTCTGAGCTGGCTTGCCCTGCTGGCGAACAGCGGTGTGTCTGCCCTATGCGTTGCCCCGCGGGCTGCTGCATGGCTGACATGTGTGCGTGTGCGTATGCGCGTGCGTGTTGGGTGGGCGAGAACGAGATGCGCTGTGAACGTTTATTCATATGCGAGCTCAACGACTCGGGAACGATTGTGGGTGGGAGGTGGTGGCTGCATGGGTGAGCGAGGTGCAGTAAGGCAAGGTAGGCAACCTAAACCAACCGCAGGGTAACGGAACTGCGTCCGTGGAATGACAAGAGTTGCCAGGGGCCGTGGTTGGAACCTTGAGGAATTTAGATTTGATATTGACAGGAAAAGCTAGCAATGAGGTCGTCACTCTGTCACCCAATTGGCAGATGAGCCATGTCCGTGAGTGAGGCTTCGATTGTGACAGTCATCTCGCAACTTGGACGGATCCCACGGCGACGGGCGCTTGGCCGGAGTTGGGAATGAATCGCGGAAGGACAGCCGTGAGGTAGGTAGGTATCAAGACATGGATCGGAACCAATGCCGTAGTCGGAGCATAAGGCAGATGCATAACACGGTGATGGATGGTCTACTACAGGAATGGACATACAACATGGGTGACAAGTGAGGTACCTTGGTGTAGGTAGGTAGGTAGAATAGAAAAGAGGCAAAGATGCCCAACCAGAGCTGGGAACTCGTTCAATCGAGCAATTGGGACGCCACGATGTGACAACGAGCAAGCAATAATAGCAACTGAACGGTAACGCAGCAGCAGCCGCTTCAGCAGCCGCGCTGCAATGGAGTTCTGAAGCTGGACCTTGCGTGCCGCGCCGTGCCAAGATGAAGTGAGACTGAGATCGGGGTATGAACAAGCAGAGAGAAGACATTAACTGACTACGGTGAAAGAAAGCCAGTGTTTCGTTCTCTGTGCTTCGTATCCCGTATCACTTCGGATACATGTGCTCGGAGGTTCATGAGCCCATGAAGTAAGTTCATGTTGAGATGAGAGAAGGAGGTCTGGTCTAAGGTCTGACCTACCCGTAGGGACCGTAGTGCAGTATAGTGTAGTGCAGTGACTGGTCTCTGGTCTCTAGTCTGAGGAAGAAGAATATCGGAAATGACATTGGGCAGCGAGTGTCAGAGTCGTATTACTCTTTGAGAATGTGTAGTCTGTTCCCCTGCCAGCCCGTACCTGGGACGGTGACACTGACCTCTGTTCAGCTCTGGCGTTGCGAGTCGCGAGTCCGTTCCTTGCGAGGTGGACGAGGGCGAGTGGACGGTTGATGTTGAGATGTGCTGTCGTTTCTCGTCTCTCATCTCTTGGTGTACGCAGTACGATGTTGGGTGGAATGCGAACGGACGATAGGACGATACTTGAGATGTCGCAGGTGATTAGCGGGAGGTGGCAAGTCCCGAGATAGCATCGCTTAGCACCTGCCCTGAGGTGGGCAGACCTGAGGAGGTGAGGTGCACTACGGATCAAGAGATACAAACAGACTAGCCCAGAAGGAGGAGGTACGGTGGTCCGTACCTACCTACGTAGTAAGTACCTACTTCATGATGTGGGAGGGGACCTTCCATCTTCCCCCAAACATGTCAGCCACTTACAGTTGGAAAAACCAATCATGGAATTACCCATCGCCCCACCCCTCCCAGATCAGGTGCCATCCCTGCCCTGCCCACTACCATCTACCCGACATCTTTTGCAGGTGGTCCGTGAGCATGTTCCTACCTGCTACCCCACCTTCCCAGTACCTCAGCGCCTCACCAACACTTCACCTCCAGTCAGGAGGACCGCTTCATGGAACCTCAGACGCTAAAAATGAAGATATTGTCACTCACACTTACCGCGCTAAGTATCGGGGAACCAAACACTTTGATTCCCTCGGAACAAGGGCAACCAAAGCTCTGCCGGGCAGAATTTTTGAGACTCAGAAGAAGAAGAAAAAAATCGCGTATGCCTTGGTGCATTGGCAACATACCTCTGGTTGGTACAAGGCACCTATCTGAACGTGTGATGGGAGCATGTCGATATGGACTTGTTGGTTATCTTTGAAGCATCCAGCCTGTTGCTACTTTTAGTGTTCATCTTCACTCCGTAAAGAGACAGGGGGAAAGACATACGGAAGTACGAAGCTCCTGATGCTCTTTCACTTGGATAGGTAGGCTTCCCGGTCTGAGCGGCACTCCTGGTGGTCCATCTCTACTGTGGTAAGACTTTGGCAAGTCTATTCGTAGGTATCCGTACTCAGGTACTTGGAAGCTAGCCCGGCCAACTACCTACTTACCCACTTTCGCTCGCCCACTCAACCGCACCTCAGCGCGCTACGCTTCGGCAGAGCGACGGAAGCGAGTCCTGGAGCGGGTCTAATCCCCGGAAAAGCCCACATCCACCTGCTAGTGAAGTAAGGTACTCTGTTGTGTACGTAGTAAGGTAGGCATCGAGGCACCTCCCACATTACCTTGCACGAAGGACTCCATACCGCGTCAAGATAGGCACACTAAATTGAGGTTTTGTGTCTATGCTGGCGGTGACAGGGTTTCCTGGAATTGAAACATGAAATGTTGGTGCTTCTTTCAAACACGGCCCTCATACCCCATGGTAAGAATACGGGAAAGGGACACAAGTTGCATTCAAAGACCTGATTGAACGACGATGTTTCTTATGGACGTCACGGTTGTACCTGGTATTGTCACATTGTGGTTGTACGGACGGAAGGCATTGGGACTGAAATGGGACGGGAACAGACCATTGGTCACTCGGTGCCTCCCTCGCCTTACCCAAAGGTTAAGTAAGAAGCCACCCACCTTCCCTGACTTGGCACCTACCTTGGACATCGCGAAGTACCTTGGGACCTTTGGAACCTTCCACGTGTGTCAATACGCAGTATGTACATGGGAATATGCTTTATCCAGGGCATCTTGCAATTCGAGGCAGGCACGACTGATTATTCTGCAAAGTATCTCGGCGTAGTAAGCACTACTTTGGGTATACACGCCTTGCAATTCATGGTTGCGAAAATGCAGAAACAAATGACTGCAACATGACTTGGGAAATTGTGAGAAAAGGTAGACATCCATACCGAACAGCGAAGCCTCTCATCGAGGGCATCCTCTTCCACCAGCCCATTGGAACCCAGCACCGCCAACACAGAGCGCGGGGGATAGGTACCTACTCTGCCGCCCGCATCACACGCTGCACGCCACCACATCTCCGTACACCAGCACTCTGCAGTCTGCACACCACGCAACTCACCTTAGTTTCCATTGGGTCGAGCTACCTGATCAGTACCTTCTCACCTCTCACTCACCTCACCTCAAGGCACCTTACCTCACCCATTGCATGGAGGTCTCATTTGTCCGTCGTACAAGACTACCCGAGTACCTCATACTTTCATTGCCTGGACACCACTTGCATACACCAGTGACAGCAAGAGCAGCAGCAGCAGCAGCAGCAGCAGCAGTTGCCTCTCACCTTTCGGCCCTACCTTACCACCTTACATTACCTCGCTATTCTCGCTGTCGCGCAGCTTCATTCTTCTTCGCCTCTTTGCACCACAACTGACATCAGCAGATGCGACCGGACTGCAAAAACAGCCTCCTTTTGACGACAAAACATACCTCCTGTCCTGCCGCCGTTCCAATTCCTTTTTCCATTCCACCTGGCCGCCACAAGCATGATCTAAACGTATCCATCTCTACATACCTTACTCGGAGCCTCTGTCTCTGTCGGCCCACCTCATTCTCAGAACGGCCTCGACCCCTCTCTTGGACTCTGGAGTTTGTCGCCCTCGAGCTGTTTTCGTGCCTGTCCTTCTACCTTGCCATCGTACGAATATCCTATCCGTACATACACTAGAACCGGATCGTCAACTTGGACGCCAGCCCTCCCCGCTTCTCGTCCCGCCGGATTGCTTGCTTACTTTCTCCATTGAAAACCGCAAGTGCGCAAAAGTCGCAAACGCATTCGCCGCCCGCGTTCTGTTCCACACACCTCATCTACGGAGTACACCACGGGCATTCGTAAAACCCACTCGCAAATATCGATTACGATTACTGCCCACTCCACCCTCGTCGTCGATTACCCGCGTGCCCGCTAGGCCCAACTTACGGATACCGCCCAGTGCCCACAACTCACGCTTTCGTCCATCACGCGTTTAACGTACGTATCCTATTCCGTGCCCGCCTACGGAGACGGAGTAGGTACTGCGTCTACCAGCAATAGCGTACCTTACTAGGTGCCAGTCCCCTCTGTTTCTCTCAACCTTGTTTCTCGGGAATGACATGGCTCTGCGCCCTCTCGCGACGGCCTGGCGACAATGACGAGGAATGAGGCCGGCTCCCGCTTCAGCTCTCTCACGAGCACCAGTACCGACAGCACCCGATCATCGGCCACCGTGAGACCCTCCAGCAACCCCATCCCAGCATCGCGCAAGTCGTCCATGCGCCTCAAGACGGAGGGCAATGGCGCTGGCGCTGGCACTGGCATTGGCAATAGCAATGGATCCCTCGCAGACAAGTGAGTGTCATGTTCTTCCTCATGTTTGGCCCTGTGTGTCTGTCCCGGTCCGTTCCCCATAACCCCTAGTCGATCAATCAATCATCAAGCACTCACGCACACACACAAAACACAATTCCCATCCCACTTCCTTTACCTTGTGGACAGCACCGTACCCCCAAAGGAGACGACTCATGGAGGAAAACAGAGTGAGAGTGGGAGTGAGAAACGATGGTGAGAGTGAGAGTGAGACCACTCAGCTTTCAAATCCGACGCCGGGGTTCACTTCACACCTTGATTCCATACACTCACGCTCATTGCGCCTCCCACCCAGGTATTGCGTGGGCGAGCCGCAAGCCGCAAGTGGGTTGTTTGAGTCGTGAAGTGGTCCCGGCGCTCACTCTCTTTCCTGGTCCCCTCCTCTCTGTCTGTCTCTGTCTCTGTCTCTGCTGCCCATGGCCGCTGTTCCCTGCCACTCGTTGGTTCAGGTTGTCGTCCCGCAGCTTTTTTCCCTGCGTGCCGCGGCGGCGTCCCGAAACCCAGTCCCAGCCCCAGTCGAGACACAGCTGGTGTACGAATAGTGTCTATGGAACGGAATAGGTCCAAGGACTCTCTGAAGTTCTCAACTATTCGCACCGGTACTATTCGTAGCTGAGGACTGAGGACTGAGGACTGGGGACTGAGGTGTCGCCAGCTTGTGGTCGTGCTTGTGCTTGTCTTGATCCTTTTTTTTCTGCCCTGCTACCTAGATGCTGCTACTGGGCTGATTCCAGTCTGCTACTTTGCCCGTATTGCCTTGGTGTGCGCATTGCATTGCAACATTTCTCTTGTCTTGTCTTGCCCCCTTCCCCTCCACCCGTCTCTTGCACACTACGGATACCTTACTTCGTACGGGTCCAATACCCATCTTGTTGTACCTTGGCTGGCGCTGTTCCCAACTTTCCCCTCCAAAGTTCCAGCAACAAGCCAGCAGTAGCCCGGCGACCCTGAACCAACAAGCCTCATCCGCACTCTCATCGTACCTCGTACGTTCCCTGCCTCTGCCCTGTCCTGCAGCCTGCCTTACCTCACCCCTCCCCGTCCGTCCCCCCCGTCCCCCATCGCCTTCTCCTCCTCCGCCCCGGCCCCAGGCAAGCTTTGTCGTCGTCGCTTCAATGGTGGAGCTATCTGCTGTTTTCGATCCCCTCCAGTCCAGCCCAGTTATAGCTTCTCAAGCCAAGCACCCAAGACATACTCATTCTCCCGCTAGAACTAACAACTTACTCCTCCATTTTTCCTCCGTGTTCCTCTTCTTTGGTTGATGAATGCACCCATAACTGACTGGTCATTGCGTTCCGCCCCCCCGTCTAGGTCTTTCATCAGTGATTTGAGCCCAGCCGACCCGCCCACCTCTTCCACTTTTGCCTCTGCGCCGCGCGGAGCTTTGTCACCAGGAACAACAAAGTCCAATGCCTCGTCCTATCGCGATCACCGTCTGAGCGACTTCGCCAACTACCGAAGAGACCTGGCCGTCCTAGAGACTTCTGGCGGCCGTCTGCCCTCCATCCAACATAACCCTCCCACCGCCACTCCCTCGTCAAGTTCCCAGATAGCTCCCTGGATGTCGCCATCCAACGGCGGTGCCACCGCATCCACGCCTCAGAGCCAGCTCAACACTACTTTTTACAACGATTCGAGCGATAACCTCTCCGTCGCCTCACAGCTCTCGCCTGGCTTCCGTGCTCCTACAAATCGCCTTGCGCCTCAATCCTCTGGCAGCCAAGATTCGCCAGATGTAGCATACTTCGGAGACGAACGAAGGCCTTCTCTGGCTAGCATAACGACCTTGAGCAGTCAGGGCTCCAAGACGAGCATTCGAAGAGGTGGATTGCAAAAACTACAGGGTTTCTTTGGGGAGGAGTTTCCTGGACGAGACGGTTCCGAGAGCAGCTTGCATTCGAGTTCTGGCAGGGACCGCTCGCGTTCCTACAGCCACAGCCGCCCTACGAGAGATCGCAACTACTCTAACGCGACAGACCATGCGCGGGACAGAGAAGCTTCGCCTTCCTCGTCAAGACCAAGAACCCCAGTACCGGCTCCTGAAGTCGTGCCGTTCCTCTACCAAGAGGCTGATGTGAGTACCTAGACGCTATTTCCTACATTGTTGTTGATCCCACTCTCCACGATTGATTTCGTTGCGAACATCCCTCCTCTTTTCAATCCCCATCCGCATTCCGCACATCCGCACCCTTGGCGCCGCTATCTCGCATACGGGAATTGCGCCGCATCAACCCATCGCCTTATCTTATCTCTTATTACCCCTTCTTCCACCCGCTCTCTGTGTCGAGTCAAGACTGCTAAATGTGCTTCAAGGATATTGCCAGGTTCGGCGAAGCCCCAGTCAGAGACATTTTGAGCGGCCCCGACCGCGAACGTTACATGAACAACGAAAATCCCAACAACCCGCAAAATCCACCAAAGACCTCCTCATCCAGCCGCTCCGGCCATTCAATCGTGCATCTCCCTGGCCACCACCATCGACACAACAGGAGCATTGATGATGGCAGGGCCCTGCGACCGACTGTAAGCAGGGAAGATTCGCAGGCCAGCTTGCAAGTTCAACAGAACCTGAGAGAGCGCGGCGGCTCAGCAGCGACAGTCATGTACGGCTCCAATCGATCCCGCGCTCAAAGCCCGACCCCGAGCGGCGGCTACTTCAGTTCGAGACATGGCACCGTCGATGGCTCCACGTCACCCAGCGGCCAGCAGCAACAACAGCAACAGCCGCAGCATCATTCCAAGAGGAACTTATTGCATCGTCTACGGCGGAACAAGGACAAAGATGACGGAACGTCTAGATTACGCGACCTGCCCGGTTCGACTCGGTCACTGGCCACCAAACCATCTCGTCCCGAATTCGCCAGACCCGAGCTGTCGCCCTCAACTTTCCCGCTCGCCTTCTCAGGCACCGAGCCTGGTCCAGATCAGGACCCTCGACTAGCAGCGTACAACCAACGAAACCAGACGTTCAACAACAGATTCCCGTTTTCCAAGAGCAAAGGCCGGCAACAACGGACTATGGAGCCGGATGAGCAGATTGGACCGACGGATAGGCAGCCTGGAGCGAACAATAACCTCGGATCGCTTGGAGGAATTCACTTGGACACCAACCTCAGTGACATGGACGGCATCCTTACGAAGCCCCAACCCTTGACTCCCATGGACAGCGGTGTCTTCTCCAGCATTGGCGATTCCGAAAAAGTGGAACAACCACCCCCAGTGCCCGCGAAGACCGATGCTGTCCTTGGACCCAATGGTTCTTGGAACGCGCCGGACAGCTGGGCTGTGCGTCGTAATACAGAGGACACCACGTACCAGGCGCCAGACATTGACGACATTGGCAGTCCGCCTCGGCCCGACGAGAAGATGACACCTTACTGCATTCGAATCTTCAGATCCGACGGGACATTTGCGACTTTGTCCATGGCTCTCGATGCGAGCGTTACCGATGTCATATCACAGCTTATCAAGAAGACTTACGCTACGGACGGGCTAGAGAATTACCACATCATTCTTAAGAAGCATGACTTGGTCCGGGTGCTCGCGGCCCCCGAGCGCCCACTCTTGATGCAGAAGCGACTACTGCAACAAATCGGTTACGAGGAGCGGGACCGAATCGAAGACGTTGGTCGGGAGGACAATAGCTATCTGTGCCGATTCATGTTCCTCTCCTCCAGAGAGAGCGATTTCCACTCCGTCACAAATGATCTCGGACTTGGACGGATACAAAAGTTCAATCATGTCGACCTTGCTGGCCGCAACCTCATCACCATCCCGATTTCGCTCTACTCAAAAGCCTCTGAGATCATATCGCTCAACCTCTCACGTAACCTCTCATTGGATCTCCCTCGCGACTTCATTCAGTCGTGTCAAAACCTGAGAGATATCAAGTTCAACAACAACGAAGCACGAAGATTACCTCCCAGTTTGGGCAAGGCGGCAAAGCTGACGTACCTCGATGTGTCGAACAATCGACTGGAACAGCTGGACCACGCTGAGCTGAACGGTCTGCAGGGCATACTCAAGCTCAACATAGCCAATAACCGCCTCAAGGCACTCCCGCCGTATTTTGGCGCTTACAGGGCTTTGCGGAACCTCAACATCTCGTCCAACTTTTTGGACAAGTTCCCACTGTTCCTTTGCCAGGTGGAGACTCTCGTCGAGCTGGACTTGAGCTTCAACTCGATAAGCAGTCTACCTAACGAGATTGGAAGACTGAGAAACTTGGAAAAGTTTGTCATGACCAACAACAGGCTGTCAAATGCACTACCCGACACTTTCAGCGAGCTGCAGGGCCTTCGGGAGTTGGACATCAAGTACAACGCCATTACGAGCATCGATATCATTTCATTGCTTCCCAAGCTGGAGATTCTCTCTGCAGACCACAACAGTATTTCGCAGTTCATCGGCAGCTTCGACAGGATACGGAGTTTGAAATTGAACTCTAACCCAATCACCAAATTCGAGATCAACGAGCCAGTTCTCACGTTGAAGATGCTGAATCTGTCTCATTGCCAGCTTGCGAGTATCGACGAGACGTTTAACATGATGCTGAACCTTGAGCGTCTTGTGCTGGACAAGAACTACTTCGTTTCCCTGCCGCCCCTCATCGGCAATCTCAGCAAGCTGGAACACTTCAGCATTGCCAACAACAACGTCGCAGAACTTCCACCTTCAATAGGATGTCTCACAGAGCTGAGGGTGTTGGACGTGCGCAGGAACAACATCAGGAAATTGCCAATGGAGCTGTGGTGGGCCAACAAGCTCGAGACTCTCAATGCATCTTCCAATATTTTGGAGAACTTCCCTAAGCCGGGCTCCAGACAACCCCGGCCATCAGGCGAAGAAGCACAGACGCCAGCTGCCGTGAACAAGACCAACCCGATGGAGCGCATTGCCCAATCTCCCTTGGAAGAATCACCGGATCCGTCCAGGAGACCGAGCCAGAACTCATCATCAACGTTGCTGAGCGTTGGACCGTCGCCTGTACCAGGCGGTGGCGATAGGAAGAGTTCTGTCGTGTCAGTCTATGGTAAGGGTGG